GGAATCAAAATTCTAGAACAGTATACTATTACTTGATCAATGAGTATTTTCATGATCTAAATATATCGAATAATTCAGGATATTATTAAATTTAAGTCATATACTTGATGTTGAAATTTGTAGACGAAGAAAAATAAAGAATGTGCGTAAGTCTTTTCATCATCCACATTATTTTAAATATATCAAAAGTGAAACTCAAAGAAAAAAGAAGGACTTCATGTGACGACAATCAGACTTCATAATAGTAAAGGACAAAGTGATATAACTCTTAATAATCTTTCACTAATCTTCTCCAATAAGGCTAGTTGACTCAGTAAGAAGAATTCAGTGAAACTGAGATAGAGAGAATTAACGTCGCTGACGAATGACGAATTATATCATGATCATATATTCATCTTTGCTTTCAAATAGAAAGTAAGAAATAATTTCGATAAAGCAGATCTTACTAGAATTTTTAAATTGGTTTTATATTTCTTTTTGCTGTTGTCATGATTTTATCCCTATTTCAATCATCGATGAGACTGGCAGCATTTTATAAAATTAGTATAATCGATTCAGTGACTGAGCTTGACCCGAGATGATCGATACCACACTACCAGAAAAAAATATTATATGTGCCCAAGTCTTTTGAAATATTACAGAAATGAGATGTTGAATATTGACTTTTTTTTTCTGTTACGACGGCTATGCATTATGTCTGAAAAGTAAGGCACTTACCATATTCACCTGCATGTTGATATTAATGATGTATGAGTACCTCATTATCTCATAGATACATCCATATTCTCATTCTTTCATTAATACATCTGTACAATAGCAGCAGTGTTTCTCAATCTTAGTCAGGATTAAATTTTAGATTTTAGATTCAGAAAAAAGCTATGGTCGATGAAAAAGATCATTTGAGTGGTAAATTATCAAAACTATCAATTACAAATCAGCAGAAGAAAAAAAATAATTATGTCATAGATTCTGCTGCATTGGTTCCATATACGATCAAACTTGGTTATTCTTTTCGATGTCAATTGCTATTAAAACAATTAATTGATCGACAATTGAGCCAAAACTACTTCCAAGAATTATTATTTCTCATTGAAGAAAAACATAAAATTCATGATTTTCATATGCGATTAAGGAATCAAGATCAGAATGGTTTCACTGTAGATTTCATATACAAGGACGTTAATAATCATTATGGTCCAATTCAATGTGACGTGTGTATTTCTTGTGATATGAACAACAAATTATCACAACTCAGCTTGATTAAACAAAATCCGACCACGTGTATTTGGCTAGATGCACAGTTAAGAAATAAGTTGATTGTTACACCACGACAACACATAGAACGACTTTCAGAAATGTCCGAGGAAGAAATGATACACTTCTGGCATGATACGCAAGCATTATTAGATGAAGAAGGATGCAACTGGAGAAGTATGATTTTGAATCATGGAAGATATCGAAATCATTATCATCTTCATATGAAAATCAATATTGACCAGTCCCAGTGGGATCAACGGATTGCAAAGAAATACGAAGAAAAAATTCAACAAATGCAACAGCTACTCAAATATGACGAAAATAATATTATTCAAAGAAGTTTTGGTGATCGGAAATTCAACCAATGGAGCGGCATTGAAAATATTAGGACAAAGCGAAAAAACTGAGTAAATTCGATAGAAAAAAAACTAAGGTCTGCTCGATAACTCATTAACAGCAACATGCAGCCTGCTGTGTTGTTCTATGAGCGAAATAGATCATTGAATGCCTGTTTTCTAATATAAACTGTAAATTTTAAGTCGACGTTTTGCAGCTCCTTCACCTTCTACTCATTATAGATCTTACCCATCGGGACAAAAACTCATTGAATAGATTTCTTTAGAAAGCACAGGTATACATCAACCAAATAACATTTTTATAGAGCGAATAAGATTGGTTAAAATTATAAGACTATAGAGACGAGCAAGCAAAGGAAAGAGTGTAGAGTTGGGGTAGTATAGTATGTGTACTACTAATAGTGAGTCAGTGCTTCACAGTATCTATCTGTAATTGTTTCAATTCAAAGAAAATATCATTATAGTCATTTATTATTTGCTCGATTGTGACTTTTGTCTTATATATTTGTTTCTTCATCATATGATAAAAACCATACTGTTGCTATTCGATGACAAAAAATAAATAATTTTTTTTCATAAACTAAAGCACATTGTATTTAGCTTTGTACAACAAAAAAATTCACAACAATTAAATTATACGGAAGATTATTTTAAAGAACATTTTGATATTTTGTCAACAATGTTGATTGCTATTGATCAGCAAATAAACTATTCAGTATGAAAACGTTTGATTGTTTCAATTCACTTGTTGCAAACTTTACAGTACATTTCATTGCATAAGGAACAATTAATACTAAATTATCTGCTAGCTTATATGGAATACATGAATTCTACATTTTAGTCCCAAAGGACCTGCACTAGAAAGCTTTTCTTTTGTCGATTCTACTCAACATAATGATTCGCATTAATGTGTCTTTCTTATACGATTTCAATTGAATATTCATCAAAGAGAAACTTATCTCAACAAAATATACTCATTTCATTTGGAATCGGAACTTTTTTAATTATTTTCTGAGTTATACTTACCAAGAAAATTACATTCAACGCATTTGTTTGCAGAAACAACAAAGAATTATTTCTGACACGAATAATCAGTTGAAATCATCACTCAAATAGCTATTATAAGACTATTTTCTGTTGGGAAGATCGAGGTTTCTATTCAAAGAAAAATATTTCATTGAAAAAGTGACATTTCTTTTATTTTCATTTTTCCCCGTCTCAAGATATTTTAATAAATCAAATATTTGTATTTATTGTCTATATGATGAACGTTTTGGTCATTTAATTCCAAAGAAACATTCGTCCAACATCAGATCCAATACTGAACTGAACAGATGGCTATCATTATGTATTACTTACTGATCTATCATCAGGAGAGCAGATTATTTTTGTATGATGAAGCCATAATGACAATTAGTTTCCTTCTATCAATGTGGATATTACCACAAAATAATCTGGACAAAATAAATAAATAATAATTAATGTAATTTTATCATGTGAAATGCGGGTGTGGGTGCAGGTGGCAGATTTGAATTACCAAAAGGAATATTTCGAGAAACAGCTATACTAATCACTGTGAAAATACATCTTCATTTGAAGATAACACTTAATACATAATATAGAGACAATCATTCATCACGGTTATCCTAATTTTTTATAGTACTATTTACAAACGACTAAAATTGATCATAGTTGAGTGATTGAAGCATTGTTTCAGCGTTATCATACGAGCTTCTCAGTAAATTTTCATTGAATGCACACATTGAGAATTTATTTCTATGCAATACTGCTTTTAGATTAGTTCAACTCGCTACTTATTCTTAAGCAAGCGACATAGTTGCGTTTGAAAAGATTTCTTTTTCAAGGACACATAATCAAACAGTAAATGTTAAGGATCAAGGTTGATTCACCATTTATTGAAGTCGAACTTCATATTCCACATATCAATATTCAAAAATCAAATAATAATTGAGTTTCTATAGTGAAATTGTGAGAAGGAAGTTTTGATATAGAATAAACAAAAGTAATTCTTGTTCAAGAAGAAGCCAATTATCGAATGTAGGCATATAGTGCTTCAAACGAATTTGGTTCTTCCAGTTAACATAAAATATTTTCACATTGTAACGAATCTATTCAATCTTGTTTATCTTTGATGGTTAGAATCATTTTTTATTTGATTAACTTGATCAGATCGATCTTCCCAACCTAAGTTTAATAATGATTTCATAATGAAAAAGATAGACTGAGAAAATTTCGAAAAGTCTGTGTTTTGCTCGCTTTCATGAAGAAAATCTAGACTGATCTCTGATTTCCTCTCGTTTGTGCTATTATGACCTCCGGCGAAACTATAGCTCTTCAGAGATGAATGAAGATTTGAAAAAAAAAGAAAAAAGCAGTCGAATGACATTTTCGGCTTGATTTCTAGTGCTATATTTTGTTAGAGGCAGGTTATCCTCTCAACTAATTAAACTATTACGATGATCATGTTTAAAAATGTCACTAACGTTCAAAAAATTATTTTCAACCAACATACAGTTTTTCTTAAGAAAATAACTGGTGCCAAAGAAATGTGTCTCAGAAGCTGTAAAAATCTAAATTTATAATTGATCCTTATTTTGAGATCTTTTTGTAGAAACAAATATGCTTCTCTCAAAATCTCTGACATAAAATAACAAAAATTTCGATAGAATGTAAACCATAACGAAGGAACTAAATTTTGCTGCTTCTTCAAGATTTTTGCCTTTGTAAAGGTAATCAATTGGTAATGGAGACTTTGTCACGAAATTTTTTTTCCATATGGTGATAAAAAGGTCGAAAATTGGTGGTTGAAAGTAGTTCTTTTTGATTTTCTTTTAACCTCACTGCATGAATATTTTCAACTCTTAGAATAGTTTTAGATTTCAATCAAAAGTGCGCGCTCAAGTCGTCTGTACTAGTGGGATCTGTTGTTGTTAATTGTTTAGTATTCGAGTTTGATCATATATTACAGATGGTACTACAAAAATAGACATTAATTAAAAGACTTTACGAATAGAAAAGTCTGGAGTCATCTAACATAATATATTGTGGCAAATGAAAATTAACTATTTTCTGTAGCAACTGGTCTGTTCAAGACAAAACAATATTAATTTAATAAGAAAGTTAAAAGAGAAATAATAAAAAAAAGAAGCAAACCGCTAAAACCGGCGGTCTTGCTGACACATTGACAATATCAGTTATAGATCATTTTTAGCCACTAGTGTGTAGTCATTTTGAAAAAATATTTTAACGGGTCACGAACAACATGACACTGTCGAATGATTAAATTTCTGTCGCAAGACATTGAAACATAGTTTTTCTTTCAAATTGTTATTTTGCAACAGAATTCATTCATTTTCATTAATATTTTTAACAATCTTGTAAAATATTTCTTCGTTGTGTCAATAGTGACTCTGACTGATAACACGGAGTAGAACAGCGGGATTCACGTCGTTGGTACCATAATGACATCACGGATCGATATATTCTGACTAAATAATTATCGGAACTGTTATGAAAAATTTCTGATGCATATGAAACATGTGGTTGATTTCGATCACGATCTTCTTGATGTAAGAGCGAATTTGTACTAGTTTTATAATCACCTATTGTTATGCCATTACCTTCTGGTTTATGTGTACTTGGTAATAGAACTCGTCGAATAAATTCATTTAAAGTAGTAACACCTAAAAAACGTTTCCAATTTTCGATTGAATTAGTACTGAATATTTTATAAAAAATAAAATCTTGTTTATAACATTCATTAACACAATATTTAGCCAGTAAATGTTCGACTGATGTTTCATCTTGACTTATCATTCGTCCATGCAAACAGCAAATACCAATTAAAAGAAAACCAGCTACTAATGCCATAATAAATATATAATTCGTTATGAAACCATCTACACCCATAATTTCAAAAATATCCCCAGCCATAAAAAATGAGTCTATATGTCGAAATCTATTATAATCAACAATTAACTATAATGATTAGAAACTTTTTTTTTTTTAGTACTTACATTTGTTCATCAAATCGACTGATTTGATATTCACGATAACCAAACAAGCCAGCATAAAAACATCCTATTGACATAAAACAACAAAATTGAAAAAAGTAACGATGATTATAAAAACCAACACAGTTATTTAACCCTATAGTTTTATAAAAGTTTAATATTAAATATAGTTTTTAAATTCATAATATCTTACATGGACAATGATGATCAAATTTTAATACACATAAATTACACCAGCTACAATGATGAGTTCGAGGTGGTTTGTTAAATGAACATTTCTTACACACAGGATGTACTGTTCATATATAATTCAATATTCTTTTCTCTTCTTTTTTTTTGTATCTTTGTTTAGATACCCAAATATATTTGACTATATTCAGATACTGTATTGTCAAATCTTGATAATCTTTAGCAAGACCTGGTGATGTAAGCCATGCCATAATATAATTAAAATAAATATTAATAGCAAGCCAATTACCAAAAATAAAATGAAATAAAAATTTTCCGTATTTTCTACTTTCAAATACTGCTGGAGCAATTATTGAATAAAAAATAAAGACAATATAAGTAGTTGATGAAAAAAAGAGAAATACACCAAAGTAGCCTATAGACTTTGATAAAATCTTTCGTGTTGTTGCATTCCACATATTTATATATCAAAATTTCAATAATTATGTATCCTGTTTAATGCAGTAAAGAATACGAAAAGACGAATATCGTGAAGGTAATGTATATATTAAATGCTTCTATTTCTCCATGAGTTGGATATGGTTGATCGATTCTTAAACACAAAATGAAAAAAAATGAAGAAAAGACAGAATAGAATAAATAACTTATTTTATATGATCAAAATAGCTCGTTATATAGCAATATTGTCAATTAGTTAGAGTCTCGATTTATCTACTAATCACATTATAAACTTTTTCCTAAGCGACTCAAACTGAATTAAAACTGAAATTGAATGACACAACATCCTCAAATATAATAATAAATTTTCAATAAGATAGATATTACTGCATACTAATTTTTCTATTATGATATTCAATCAATATAGTTCAATAATAAAATTTAGTTCTTTATTATTTATAAATATTTTCTTAGATGCTATAGAAATATAATTGAACGAATGTAATAAAAATATAATATTGTCTCTCACTATATTGATCACTTTATTGATAATGATTTTTTTATGATACGTTCAAATAATGCATTCAATAATGATTAATAAGCAAAATTTGCAATAGCACAATGAAGATGAAGAATATAAAATTTGATAGAGAGACTGATTATTAAACAAAATTTTATTTCATTATATTTATTTATTTTGATATGTTAGTATCTGTTTATCTTTACTCTTGAGGAACAAAAAAATTAAATTGATCAACACAATTATATTATCATTCAAATACTATTTATTTTTGATTTTTTTATGACTTTTTCATTCAACTGATATTGAACACAATACCCTTTTTTGTCATGATACATATTGTATGTATCATGTCTAAAGTAAAGACTCACATGTGCATCTATTTATAATTCATAAAGTTAATTAGTTTTATTCACTGAAAAAATGTCAAAGACAATATTGACATGATAAAAAAAATGTTAGTACTGTGTATGTATTAGTCTAGTGTTGTCTCCATCATTCACTATTAACCTGTCAAAGACGATTTTAAATTCGTTTTGTAGGAAGTTTAGCTTTTCATTCGTTCTTTTCTATATTAATGTTCGACATTAATGGTATTCTTAAGGCCAAACATTAATCAAGGTAAATGTATTTGCAACATATTTCAATGCTCTTATTCGGTCAGATATGCATATATTATAGTCTAAACTTTCAACGATAAATAAAATCGAAAAATACCTACTAGAGTATACAAAAAATCAAAACCATGCAATTATTTTCTCATTATTGGTTTGGACTGATAGTAAAAGTGATATATGGACTATTATGTAAGATGAAGCAAAATATAAAAATTAAAAAACAGCTAAAATTTTTTGATATAAATCATAAACGTGACATTTCGGTATCTATTTCTCAGATACCATCATCAGACGAAAAAACCATCAACATAAAATATTCATACATCTAATATATCAGATTTATTATAACCT